ATATTTTTATCGTTAGTCTGTATAAATATTGCGTATACAGACGTTAAGTCAAAGTGTTAAGCGTATCGAAAAATCCATAGCTTGATTCAATATCGAGTCGTTCAACGTTTGGTTTGATTCGTTCTAAAGAACGAGAGGATAATTTAATTCGAATCGTTTAACTGGATGCAACTTAGAAGCTTAATCAATTCTGATTAATTTTATTAAAACACTTTTTTCACGATTTTAATAGAAAGTCACGGAATATAAAATAATCGTATTCATTGTGAATAGTTTAACGATAAATTATTCCACTTGTGCTGCACGAGAATTTATTCGAAATCCTGTGAATTTAAAGTCTAGAGGAAATTCATTTTTTCCAACTCGAACACACTTTCTCGATCCTTCCGTCGTGATGTTTATATTAATCCGGTGGTTTTACTCCTATTTACAATCCATTTCCGGTTACGGTGGTACCAGAGGTAACACGATTCCTCTAGGTTGCATCCAGGGCTGGGATTGCGCGTTACCGTGTGGTGTGTGTATGTGTGTGTGTGTGTGTGCCCGCCTCAAGATCGTGTTTCACGTTCAAGCGGAAAACGTATCGCAAATATGCGTGTTCCTGGCATAATATCCGCAATAAAACGAACCAAGGTTTCACTCCCTTCCTTCCTTCCTTCCCTGTGTGTAATGGAGTACGTTGTTTATGCATCTACGAGATTCAACGTGTTTATAATCAAACGGGAGAACATTGTCTCTCGAGATGTGACTCTTATCGTGGTTACGTGTTACGACATTGTTCTTGTCGTATCGGGTATAGAATAGAATGTCTTATTTAATGTGGAAGGGGAGAGAACGGAGAGGACTAAATAATAGAAAATAAGAGAGACTTGGAAGGAATCGGATAGAATGGAATATCTTCCCGATAAAATGATAGTATAATTCTCAGTTATTTTTTTTTTTTTTCTTTCTTTCGAGATTCATCCAATGTACGTAAATTTCGTGTGGATATTTACGTTTTTGTTTCTAAAAATTTGAAATTTGATTTGATCGTGTAGCGTTGATTTTATAATTTTTATATGATTTTCTTTTGCCAATTGCGTCATTTTTCTATTCGATACAAAAGAAGAATTGTTTAGTTAAATGTCATGAGATAGAATTTCATGGTGGAAGATTTTTATCTATAAAGGCTTCGATAAAGTTTGCCTTGACATCGATCGCCAAGGTTGGCTTGATTACGGCCACCCTCTGTAAACTCTTCACCCCTTGTTAGCCTCTAGATCACTGAAGGTTCGAGAAGTTGACTTTTCTCTTCCACGATGGAAGAGATTTTTATTCGTGATGAAAAGTCGCGAAATATTTATCTTCGTTCGTAATCTCGTCTTAATCTCAAAATATCTTGTTTCTCTATTCAAGGAATTGTTATTTATTGATATTATATTTGATTTTTTTAATTATCGCTTCATAAATAGATTTCTAAGCTCTTTACGTATATTTTATAGAGTATAAAATAACATATTATCAAATTAGATTTTTTTATCTGAAATTAAAGCGCGAATAGAACTACATTTTCGACGTTGGTTCGAATTCGACAGTCGTGGCGATAGAAATATTATTAATGAGTTCGAGTTTTCGTTATTGAATAACGAAATTATTTCTATTCGTTAAGAAATTGATAGAGAGAAGGAAAATAGCGATAAAAATAGAAATGGAATTTCTATTTTAACGGCATTTCATTGTGATACTTGTCTTGACAAACCGAGGATGCATCACTTTATTGTTAAAATATTGCACAAAATATAGATTTTTAATATTCAACAAATTTTCTGTTTTTATACGTAAAGATACATAAAATATTATAAAACGCATAAAAGTTTTATGCGTTAATTCGCGCGTGAAATCATTTTAACTTAGCCAAGAAATTATTACCGAACTGATGGAGGAAATCGTGTGGAGTTGGAAAAAGAGGCCTCGGGTGCAAAGATTCTCTCGTATTTCCTTAAAAACGCTTGCTTCCAGATATCCATCCGCACACAGTTTGTCGCACTATAGCAAAATCGATCGTGCGCTTAATGCACGTTGCGCTTTCACTCGGCTCGCCGGGACAGGTTTAATTTCACATATCCGATCATTTCACAGATATTGCTAATTACAATACCCCTTTATTTTTAAACGATTTCTAAGCGATTTTAATACCGGTAATGTCTTAATAATTGGCCGAGATCGGGGGGAGAGAGAGGAGAGCGATCATCTGGATCGATGGTAGCCAATTACCGCGTGTAATTGTTTGATTTAGAAGGTTTGTGATGGAATTGGGAGAAATTTACGAGAGTACAGAATCCGATGTTTATCTAAATCTATCTCCCCCCCCCCCCGAGTTTTGCGGGATAATAATATTCGAACAGCAGGTGCACACGTGGGCAGCGCGAGATGGAATCTTTTCAAGCGGCGAACAGCAGTTGGATCGTTTTGTACATACGTCGATAATATCTCGATGGAACAGTGAGTCACGGCGAACAATAATTAACGATGGCGATAAATATGCCGGTAAACGTTATTGTGAAACGATAACGCCGACTGTAAATGTAGCAATTTCGAGCGCGGCTCTAATTAGCCTGACAATTATAGTGCGTTGATCCAATTCACCTTAAGATTACGTTTCCCTTATCGAGACCGTGCACGACACGGTTTCACACCCGGTTTCTTCATCGGGTCGATCTACTTGTGGCGTTCAAATTATTTTTACAATCAGGATCGAAGCGTGAGAAATGCGATTAATTTTTCCATTTTAATAGCTTTGACTCATTTTATCCGAACTTTTGGAAACTTTCATCTTTTCGAGTGATTAAACAATGGTACTCATCTTGCCAATAGATTTTTCATAGTTAATTTAGTTTAAATATGATATTATTGGCAATTTTGTAAAAAGAAACAATTCACTACGCGAATTATTTTAATGATGCATCATTACTTAATATGTTTTTCATTTCATTAAAAAATTCTATAGAAATAGTTTAACACTTTTATAACTTAATTGCACAATTATATATTCCAATATATATATTCCATTTCATTAAATTAACATTTATAACATAATTTGTAGAATTTCTCGAATCCTCCTCCTCCAATTATATCAATATAGTTAATTGAATTAATACGAAAAAAAAAAAAACAATTTATCCAAAACTATAACAGAGATTGGCTTATAATCATCTATCTGGTTCATCGTGTGTGGTAAAGACTAGATCGAGGTAAACACGCTTATTCATGCGACACTTTTTTTGGTTCAGCGTTTAAGGGAAGAGGGGAAGGAAGCTTTCATTGGGGTGCGATCGTGCGGCGATATGCAAAACAAGAGAGGAGGGTTGCCGATGTTATTATCGTTTGCCCTTTGACGATCGATCCTTCCTCTTCCTCTAAGTATGCCTCGAACATCTGCCTACCGTCAATTTATCAATTTAACAAGTTTTCATCCTAAAAGATCCTGATGACATCTTCTCCTTTGATCTTCAATATCTTAACTTCTCCTCTGATCTTAGTAAAAAAAAAAAAAAAAAGGAATCCTCGAAAACCTTTGAAAAAGATAAAAGGTTTTAATCGGATCGATACCTGTCCATTGATTATTGATGATTCATTCCACACGAAAAATAAGATTCGAATTATTCTGAATTTTCTCGATTACAATATTTTAGAAAATGAAAGCGTCGAATTCGATAAGTATAAGTTTAATCATATTCTTTTCCAATATTCCTTAAAACTCTCACTTTCGAATCGAAGTTTCTCGAACCGTTTTGAAAAAAAATTCTTAAGACTTTTGTTCAAGGTTTAAACGACTCTGCAACCATCGAAAGCAGCAGGTGTTAATAAAAGAATCCTGTTTGAAAGGAAGTTTCTTGCGCAAGGGTGAGGTAGTCACAACAGGAAGTCAAAGCCGACACAAAGATATCATTGTCGTGCATCGAACGAATCTCGACTGTTATCGCCGCTATTTTCAACAGCTACGAGGAGGCCGTGGTTAACGTTCCCTTCGAGGGGCACTCCACCCCCGACGAGACCGCTCATTGAAGAACCGAAGAGCGCTCTTCTCTCGTGCAAAGGCGTGGTCCCAATTCGATTCCCTTTTCCTGCAAGCGTGAACAACCCCTGAACAGAGAAGAGGAGAAGAGAGGAGAGATTCCGATCGATAAAAACCATCTATCCGCGCGTCGATTCGACGAATTGTTTTTACGAAAAGGAATGAAAGATGAGAGAGAGAGAGAGAGAGAAGTGTAGTGGAGTGGTTTTGTCACGTTCAATGCGGCGTGTAAACCCAGTGCTGTGGAAAAAAGAAATATGGAAAGGTAGGATTATGACGCGTCGAATAGTTGACAAGAAGACCATAGAACATCCGCCACTTAACTCTTTTGCCTGTGGGGGCCTCCTCCCCTCCCCCTCCCTCTGTTAAAGTTGGCTCGCGAAATTGCTCGTAATTCATATTGTCTCATTCCGGCATAACGGTGCATCCAATCAACGCCAATCTTCGCTTCGGGAATGCTGAGTTGTAAAAAAGGCCGGCGACTAGTTTGGAAGAGGTACATCGTTTTATCGTACGTGGTACAGTCTCGTCCAACAAGACACTCTTTTGCTCCTCCTGCTTTTTTAATTTAATCGATCAAGGCATCGAGAAGTAAGATTCTTTTAAGAAAAGAATCTTTCCGTTCCTCTGATACATTAAAAATTTACAGGGCAAATAATTAATTAATAATGCAATCTTTTTAACGATATCACAATTCCCTGTAATATGAACTTAAGCACATTGTCATCAGTTATCTGACCGTGTTCCCAGAAACAAATTTCAATCGAACAAATCAACCGATGCAACCGAACATCGCCATCGTCCAATCAGATTACCCCTTCTCGAAGTCGTAAATACCGTTCATATCCCATAAAAGGGGTACGAAAGTAGAATCGTGGCAAAGAATAAACGTAGAGTCGCTAAGGATGCGAAAAGGAATGCGTGTAATACTCGGGATAATACTCACCTGAAACAAATTGTAACCTTTATCGTACATCCACATCTCGTCGGCTGGATGCTCCTTGGGACTCTCGCGTTGGCTGGCGTTGAGGACCTGCGGAGGCGGGCCCCTGGTCAGCTGGATCGCGAGGGACCTTTGCAAGAGCAACAGGCATCGGGAGGGCCCCGAGCCCCCCGGGTCCGTCCCGTCTCCCAAGATCGAGGCCATTTTTCGGGGCCCGTTGCTAACGATTCCAAACAATCGGCGGCGGTGGCATCACGGGGACTGGAAAACAGGAAACGAATGAAGCGTCAGTTTAATGTTGAATAAAATACGTGGCGTAAAGTCAAGATTTTTTTATCTATTTCGAGCAGAGAGTTTTTGTCAAGATATATATGGATTTTCGTTTGGGATATTGCCTTTTTTTGATTAGATAATAGATGGGTTAAAAATACGTATTACTTTATCTTTAGTACGGTAGTATTTTTAGTTAATGGAATTGTATAATAATAAATCGAAAAGTGTGCCATGGCGAGGAAGTGGGTTCTTTAGTTGTGTTTGAGAGATTGTTTTTTCCTTTCGGGTTATTCAATTTGTTATAATATACAGTTATCTTTATAACATTATGATATAAAATATCCAATTATAGTGCGTGAAAAATTCTTTTAATATTAACAAGAAAATGAAATAAGACAATCTTAACTCTATCAGCGATACGATAATAAATATAGATTGATGGATCATGGATCATGTATTTCTAATATATATTTGTACTACGTATCGCTACTACGTTTTCAATTATTGGCTCATCGTCGACTTCGTAAAAATCGAACAAATATTATTCTCTGCGATACATAAAATGATGAAATAGCCACTTTTGAATTCCTCGAGTTGTTTCACCGATCGAAGAAATTCAGAAGGAAAGAACAGATGATCTACTACATTTTCAATTATTGGTTCATCGTCGACTTCGTAAAAATCGAATGCTTATCGAATAAATATTACTTTCTGCGACACATAAAAGTGATAAAATAGCTACTTTTGAATTCCTCGAGCTGTTTCAGAAGAATTCAGAAAGAAAGAACGGAAGTTACAGATGATCGATTTTGCCGCGAATCTACGCACGGAGAGGTTTAGATCGACCTATTTTCTCGTTTTCGAGAATTATAACTTTGTGTATAACTACCCGTTTCCCCCCACGATAAACTCTTATCTACGATTACGTGGAGGAACGATAACACTCGTCGAGTACTTCGTGGTACCGTTATCCTCGTTTCGCGAAACTTTCGCGTAAACTCGAGTGCTGTGCATACTATCGATACCGCGGATGGACGGCCGCGTTGGGCCAACACTTTACTTACATTACTCCTGCTTCGAGGAATAACTTTACCGTTTAAACACGGATCGACGGCTCGCCAATTAGCGCCTCTTCAAATCAATTAAATATCGCGAATCGATTTGTAAAAGGTCTTTCTCGGGGACCGCGATGCGTTTCGACTTATGCTTATCGTTTCCCTCAATTAGCGCCGCTGCAAACCCTTGAAATAACTGCGCTTGCGTAGAGTGTTTGCTGAAAATACGAGACAACTTCGAGGGAATTGATTCTGAATGAAAAGAAGAATTGAAGATTAAATAGTGCGGATTTTCTTCGCGTTTAGTTAGACTAAAAAACTTTCTTCGATTACGCTCCATCTTTCGTAATTAGGATAACTTTTACAGGTTAAAATAAATATTTCGTTTAAGTTTTGAAAAGTGAAGAGAAAGAATGTTCGTCTCGGGATGAAAACGATCGGTCGAATGAAATGTTTGCGTTAACGGGGAGAAAATGATTTGAGCGAGCGAGGCACGAAGAATAATACGTACGAAAGGAAACGTTAATTTTCAACACGACACGTTTCGATTCACCCTTCTCGTTCTCGTTACTCATTTCCTGCCTTCCCATAAGGCAACGTCACGTTTCTCTTTATTGTATCAACAACCAGCACGTCGTCCGCCTAATTGATTTACGTCCTCCCCTCTATTCTCCCTTTGGTCATCAGCAGGCCAGTGAAGGAATCCCGTCCGCAGAAATCCACGTGGGAGCAGGGGTGTACACACCCTCGAAAGGTTTCTGGGAAGAATTATGTGCGGGGGGGCCATGATTACATCTGCGCAAAGACGCGAAAAAAATTGTTTTCCCCGAAACTGAAAACTTTGTTGGAGAAATAATTAATTTCAAAACTATTTCGCTCTCGAAGGAGAAGAGAGGCGAATATTTTGTCTTGGTTTCTTTCTTGCGCAATAAATTTGTTTTCGTGTGAGTTAAAATTCAATTAGCCTCGCGTTCATTGCGAATTTCTTTCTCAATTTATTTCCGCCTTTCTCTCGGTTTAAATTCAAGATTACATTGGAAGGCCAATGTTTTTAAAAAAGAGATATTGAGTTTCCTTCATCAATAATTGATAAAAGAAAAACAATTCTTTAAAAAGTTACATCTCCAAAAGGAGTAACGAAGGTTGCTCAAAAATCTTAATTTTCATGTATAAATGAATTCTTACGAATTATTCCAAATCACCGAGATATCACTGAGAAAAGTCAAGTTAAAACCGATAACATCGTTGAATTATTACAGAAGATGGAACAATTTATTTATTTCTTTCTTTCGTTCCATAAAAGATATTATTCTTCTATTCTCTTGAAAAATTCTCACCAACTCGTCGATGCAAACAACGACACGAAACGAAGGAGAAAATAGCTATCCACGGGTTGAATATTATATCGGTGTACGAGCAATGTGCCAAGGTACACGTTCTAAAATGTCTAGATCTTTTCGGTGAAAACGGGACGGCTGTAAATTTGGCACGGAAGCCCGGCAATTACGGCCGCATCGAATTGTGGGGCCCGGAAGGAATCAACGAAGTAATCTCCCGCCTTTGGCAACGCTCCAAGGCGCGCTCGATCCAGACAATTCCTCTAATATAGTGTTGCAATTTGCGCCGCCCCCGAAGAAATTGGACCGAGCGTGGAACTCGTCCGCGGATATTTTACCTCTTTTTCACCGAATTGAGAGGTCACTCGGGGATTCGTCGTTCTTGTAAACTTTTCGAAACGCGGAATGCAATGGTCGAATGCCCTTTTCACCGAATAATCGATATCGTCACGGAGAGGAGAATTCTTTTCTCGTGCAATTTTAGAGAGGAGAGTTTTATTATTTATTATTTAAGTAAAATAATCAAATTTGTTAGCTGAATAAATTTTTGTTAGCTGTTTTCTTGATCGAAAGGAGGAAAAGTCAAATTTAAATTGTTATTAAAATTTTGAAATCAATATCGGGAGGAGAATGGATAAAATTTGAATCGAATAAAGTGAATTTGTTTTATTATTTTAAGGAAATGTCGCTTTTTTTTTTCTCAACCAAACATTATTATATCGAGATACATTACGGCAACATGTAAGATTGAAATAATATGCGTAATAATTTCGAATTGCCAGCCGTAAAATTGAACCAAATTTATCGAAGAATAATTTTGCATAATAGCAATTTGTTATTCAACTTTGTTGTTGCTCGATAAATCAAACGAAAAAAAAAAAAAAAGGAATTTTGCCAGAAACTTTATCGTATACATGCCAAAAAAATAAAATTAATATCTAGGAAGATTAATTGGCGTGAACGATTTATGCGGAATCATAAGTGGATTCGCACATTTCGTTGGATGTCGAGAAAAAAAAAAGGAAAAAAGGGAAAAAAATTTTAAACGTGGCGAGGAATACGCAGGTGTTGTTAATGGAACAATAATGTAACTTTCTCAGTATTCAATTAGCAGACCGTCCATCATAATTTATTATCGTGACGATCTTGAGAACAGGCGAGAACTTTTTCTCTCCTCTCCCGCGATTGATCGTTAGAAATGTAGATGAATATGGCGGATAGACACGCGATCTCCGCCGGTTAAAATTGTTTCGTTTACCGTTTTTTTTTTTNTTTTTTTT